GAATTATGTCCTCGCTTTTAATTTAGGGATCCATCTTTATTTATGATGCCTAGTCTTAAAAAGGAGCAACTTTTATCATTCCTGACGATCACATTTAAAGAGTTTAGATTTAGAAAGTCCAAGATAGTTAATATCATGCAGTAATAATTTAATGAATCTTATAGTAAGATAGTTAGTAAATAGTTAAATCATATAGGCAACACGGTGGTCTTGATATTAAGAATTCAAGAATTATATACAAATCTAAATTCATTGATAGGTATTTTACAATCTTATATACTAGTTTAACTTTAGTATAGTATTATATATATTGTACTACTGTTTTCCAAAATTGAATGAATAAATGTTTACTCTTGCAATATGATTAGAAGCAAAAAAAAAAAAGATATTTTGTAATACATATAGTTTAACTTTAATATAAAACCTTAGGATTTAATATATTATTATATTTAAATTAATTAATAAATGAGAATTGTAATCTGATTAAAGGCAAAAAAAAAATCAAAATTAATTTATTAATTAATTTGATGTTTTGATTTTTAATAAAAATTTTATATTGTATCTTTTAATTTCTATTTAATTATTGTTTAAAAAAAAGTAATATATATATTTATTTATATAATTTTTATTTTTTGAATAAACATTTTAAAAAATCAAAATAAAAAATCAAAATAAAAAAACAAATTAATAAATCAAATAATTTTTTTTTAAAAATATAAATATGAATATAATAAATTTTTAATTAAAATTTTTAATTAAATTAATATCTTTTAAAATATGAATTTTTAAATTTTTTAAATAAATACTTATTTAACAATTGTAAAAATTTCAATTATAAAAAATTTTTTTGCTATTTTTTTTACATTATACTGTATATTAATATTTAAAAAACTATTTAAATCATTATTACTTTAATAAACTATTATATACAATATATATTATATTTTAAGTTTTATCATAAACATAATTTGTAAACAATAATTTTATTAAATAAATAATTTTAACTTTACTTAATAAATAAATAACATCATTTTTTTTAATTATATTTAAAAATTTAATATGAAATCATAATATGAAATAATATTAATTCATTATAGCTTTAGAAGCATTTTATATCATATTTAAAATATTAAGTATTAATAAAAACTTGTATCCGCGTATATTCCCTACTAAAAATAGATAAAATAAAATAATAACAATTATTAGTTTAATTAAATTCATGCGTGTATCGCAACTTAGCCTTAAAAAAAAACAAAAAAACAATTATTAGTTTAATGAATATAAAAGCTTTATTTTAATATATTTTGTATAATAAAATCAAGGAAAAAATATTTTGCAATTGATAAATATATCCATATCCGTTAATTATTATTATTATTTATTTAACAAATTAACGGTTTCAATTAACTGTATTTTATATAATAAATTACGCATTTCAAAAAAAAAACATGTTTAAAAAAAAAATTATCGTCATTAACAAAAATACCGTGTTAATATATAGATAGCATTTAAGATGTACATGTAATCGGTATCGGGTTTTTCCATATAAAGATCAAGGGAAACAACAATGTTAACCTAAAAAATCTTTTTGTTGTTTTATTTTTTTGGACTAAACGTTATCGTTATACAGCATGTTAATCTAAAGTCATATGACTTACAGGAATTATGCGGGTCTCGGAAAATACAGCAACATGATTATGCAATGTTGACATCTGAAACTTTCACGATGATCCATCAATAAATTTAATTGGATACTGGTTTTTTTAACCAGGAAACGAAAGATGCATCTTACATCTTCTTGCAGCTTATATAAATTTGAAGAGAAGAGATAATAAAAAAAATGAAATGTTTTTGGTTTTTTTCGAATTGTAGTAAAAAGGAATTCATTTTCAACTCAAATTATCACGAGGTTGGTTTTTTTTTTCATACTCCTGAGGAAATTTTTAATTTCCCAATTAAGTTCAAATTTATAAAGATCATCCGGAAACTAATCACAAAAAAAAATTGCTTATCATCTCAGTCACATACATATACGGCTAAGTCAATCATCAATAAAAATTAGCTTGCAACTGTACGCAGAGGACTTCTTTCTCTTGAATTCGTGTTAATCACCTCCATCGGTCACTCAAGATCTCTTTTGATTTTGAGGCGAATTTTTCATTAGTGGAATTTTAAATTGCAAGCATGAAGTTTTCACATTCAATTCAATTCAACTCGGTGCCTGACTGGGCTGATCATTATATTGCGTATCCTTTGTCATTCTTGCATAATGTCTACGTTTTTTGTTTACCCTTAGCATTTTTTTTTTTTTTTTTTAATCTTAACTCGATGATTAAAATTTCTAAAGATATTCCAATCTCAAGAAACTTATTTATCAGATCGAAAGGGATTTACTCACCACCTTGCCTCCCGAGGATGATGCTGAAGCACATTCCGAAGCCTCGCCTTTGGTTGACGCTAGAACTCGCACAAATGCAATTTTCATACCAGCGCTTGACAAAGAACTCGCAAAGATCAACACATTCTATCTCAGTAAAGAGAAAGAACTCTTCAAAGAAGTTGAAGTACTCGTCCAGGATTATGCTGTGTTTGAAAATCTCCAAGATTCTGTAAGCATCCATAGCAACTCGATGATTCTTAGCCGGTCTTATCAATCATCTGATGGAATGAATACCCTCGGACGCTCTACTGATGGAATGAATACTCTCGGACGTTCATCCGATGGAATGAATACTCTGGGACGCTCATCCGATGGAATGAATACTCTTGGACGTTCATCCGACGTGATGAATACTCCCGGACGCTCTCGTTTTAGTAGTGATGATGAAGAGGAGCATACTGTGAGGAGGAGATTTTCCGCCGATGATGTGCTCAATAATACCTCGACTGATGGCAGACGAATTTCAACAATTTTTTGGGGTCCTCCTTCAATCGAAGATCAAAGGATACATCTAAAGAGACGTACTATTGAACTTTTCGTTTGGTTATCGGAGCTCAAATCATTTGTTTCTTTGAATCAGACGGGGTTTTCAAAAATTTTAAAAAAGTATGATAAGGTTACTGATAGTAATCTCAGGGGTTCATATATGAACACTGTAGTGAGTGCCGCCTATTCGTTTAGGCCTTCGACCAAACAGACCCTCGAGGAAAAAATATTAAAAGTTCAGGAGATTTATGCTAATTTATGTACAAATGCCGATATGGACATTGCCATGCGTGAGCTTAAAATTCATCTGAGGGAATTCATAGTGTGGGAAAGAAATACTATTTGGAGAGATATCATCGGCTTGGAAAGAAGATCGCACGCTGTTGGCATAAAAGCTCCGGTGACTGTGGATAAATTGGCTGAATCAGGAGCTAAAGTTAAAACACCTTTTGGTGAATTTTCAGTGTCAGACACTTTTTGGAGAGATATTTTCTTGTTGATACTATGTATTGCAGCATTTTTGATTCTATTGAATTTGAATCTATTTAAGAAAGAAGAACAAAGAAATTGTTTTGCATTACTCGTGTTCGCCAGTCTTCTTTGGTCGACAGAGGTAAGATATTCTTAAGAATATTCGGTCATAATGCTTTTAATATATCATCTAATAGTTTTTACTCGTATCAACAGGTTATACCACTTTTTGTCACATCTCTTTTAATTCCCTTGATGGTAGTGTGTTTGGGCGTCTTGCGTGAGGACAAAGCACCGCACATAAGGCTTGATGCAGTAGTTGCAGCCAAGTATATATTCTCATCCATGTTTTCACCTGTCATCATGTTATTATTGGGAGGGTTCTCCATTGCTGGAGCATTAAGTAAGTATCACATCGCTAAAATCATGGCAACATATGTGTTGTCGAAAGCTGGAACAAAACCGCACTTTGTTCTTTTGGCGAACATGCTTGTTGCGACCTTTGCAAGCATGTGGATAAGTAATGTTGCCGCACCCGTTCTGTGTCTCTCATTGATTCAGGTATGCCTATGAAATTGTAAGACCTTTAATTATGCTAAGAAAATATCGATTATTCAATTTTATATCGATTATTGACAATAGCCTGTCCTACGTAACTTACCACCCAACAATTCATTTGGTCGATGTCTTATATTGGGTATCGCACTAGCATCGAATGTTGGTGGTATGGCTTCGCCAATATCTTCACCGCAAAACATTATTGCGATAGAGAATATGAAACCTAAGCCTACTTGGATTCAATGGTTTGTCGTGTCTATCCCTTTGTGCATTATTGTGGATCTCTTGATCTGGTTATTGCTACTTTGGAATTACCAGACATCGAAAAACTCTCTAAAGATTCATCCAATTAGATCTGCCAGGGATCCATGGACAGGAGTTCAAATCTTTGTAATCATAGTTACCTTGGGCACAATATTTTTGTGGTGCATCGAACGGCAAAAGAATGTCGAGGGATTTTTCGGTGATATGGGAATTATTGCCATCATACCTTTGGTTTTATTCTTTGGCACAGGAGTTCTCACCAAAGAAGATTTCAATAATTTCTTGTGGACGGTGATTGTTCTTGCTATGGGTGGGATAGCGCTTGGCCGTGCTGTCCAAAGCTCAGGATTGCTACATACCATTGCCAAAGATATTGAATCAATGGTTCGCATTTTGGACGTGTGGCAAATATTAGTGATATTCGCTTTGCTGGTGCTTGTAGTGGCCACATTCATTAGCCATACGGTAGGCGCCCTGATTATTTTACCTATCGTGGCTCAAGTTGGCGCCGGATTAAGCGAACCGCACCAGAACTTGCTAGTTATGGTTTGTATTTCGAAAATAAAATCCACGTTTCACCATAGCGAATCAACTTACCTATTGTTGTTGTACATCTTTAGGGATCTGCACTGATGTGTTCTGTTGCGATGGGCTTACCCGTGTCCGGGTTTCCAAACATGAACGCAATCATGATGGAAGACGAAATGGGAGTACGCTATTTGACCACCTATGACTTTATAAAATCAGGCGTGCCCGGATCTTTCCTTGGATTTTTCTCGGTGGTTACTATTGCATATCTAATAATGTTGTTTTTAGGATTTTGAGTGGGCAAGTGATTACCAAATTTAGTAACATAGAAAAACAGATATGTTTTCTAAAAATATCTATCTATATCTATATATGTTTAAAGCATGGAATAATAATAATTTAATAACGCGTATTCTTTATTTACAAATATGATTTTTTTACAAAGGCTTTTTTTACAATAGTATAATATCAAATTTTAATTGATTTTTTTAATTCATCCATGAAATTTTCTGTCATGTTAGATGTTTTTAAATCGACAAGGACCTTTCACCTTCTTTTCCTTAAAATAGTAATTGAATGATTGTAAATCCTACGGCTCTGATTTGACGCGATATTCTATCGGGACTTTATTTACACAAGATAATCCGAATGATGTAAATAAGAAAGTAGTTTTGATTAAAAATAATAAAATAATACTCTTTAAGTAATTTAATGTAAACATCTGAATAGTGTTTTTTATGATAATGATTAATCATCAAAAAAGATAATTAATTATTCACTTGATAACGATAATCTCTCCAAGTCATAATCAGAGGATACATGGATCCACGAACCATCGGTGTTTTAGGTGGAGGCCAATTGGGTCGAATGCTTGTAGAAGCGGCATCCCGCTTAAACATCGACGTAGTAATTCTGGACAAACCCTCGGACGCACCCGCGAAGCAAATCCAAGCAACAAAATCTCATATCGACGGTGATTTTAAGGATCCAGACAGAATTCGTGAACTCGCTCAAAAATCCGATATTCTAACGATAGAAATTGAACATGTCAATGCTGATATCCTGGAAATTTTGTCAAGAGAAAATGTTGTTATCCATCCTTCCCCTCTTACAATTCGTCTCATTCAAGACAAATACGTTCAAAAAACGCATTTATCAAAAAACCATATTCCCGTTGTGGACTTTCTCGAGGTTCTCTCAAGACAAGAATTGATGGACGCCGCTTCAAAGTTTGGCTATCCTTTTATGCTTAAATCGAAGACACTTGCATATGATGGTCGTGGTAATTACGTGGTACGCTCCGCGGATGATATAGAGGAAGCCTTGAAATCTTTGGGAAACTATGAAAAACCATTGTATGCCGAAAGATGGGCACCTTTTGTAAAGGAATTGGCCGTTATGGTCGTGAGGAGGGCAAATGGCGAAGTGAAAAGTTATCCGGTGGTGGAAACAGTGCATCGAGAAAACATTTGTCATTTAGTGATTGCACCTGCTCAAATTAATGGGTTGGTTTTGGCAAGTGCAAAAGATATGGCGGAAAGGGCCATCCGGACCCTTGAAGGTGCAGGTGTATTTGGTGTAGAGATGTTCTTGATGAGTGATGGTAAGATCTGTGCAATATTTTTTTTTTAAGCATGTAACTCGGTCGTTTTCTCATCTTTATTGATTACAGGAAGCATATATGTTAATGAGATCGCACCACGACCGCATAATTCTGGACATTATACAATCGAGGCGTGTGAGACTTCACAATATGAGAATCACCTTCGTAGCATTCTAGATATCCCTCTGGGCAGTACCGAACTCAAGGTTTCGGCCGCAGCAATGATAAATATTCTAGGAAAGTCAGGAGACTTTGAAGAATGCCTGCGCCCGTGCACAAAAGCACTTGCCACTCCAGGAGCCACGATCCACCTATATGGAAAAAAGGAATGTAGAAAGGGACGTAAAATGGGTCACATCACTACTGTTGCAGATTCAATTTACCAATTGTTTGAGAGAATTGGACCCATCATAAAAGTGATAGACGAGGACGATTCATCAATTCCACGTACAACAATTCAACCACTCGTTGGAATAATAATGGGATCAGATTCGGATTTACCTACAATGAAGACGTGTGCGGAAATGCTTGAATCTTTTGACGTTCCATTTGAGTTATCAATTGTGTCGGCGCACAGGACCCCTCTCAGAATGGTAGAATACGCGAAAAATGCTCACAAAAGGGGGATAAAGGTGATAGTGGCTGGTGCAGGAGGAGCTGCCCACTTACCTGGCATGGTGGCCGCGTTGACGCCCCTACCTGTAATCGGGGTACCGGTGAAAGGTAAAACTTTAGACGGCGTGGATTCTCTGTACAGTATTGTTCAAATGCCGGTAAGTTAATTAAATATCAATGCGCTTATTTCGAACCCTGCGACTTATTTTCATTATTTTAAGCGCGGGGTGCCAGTCGCGACGGTGGCAATAAATAATTCCATGAATGCGGGATTATTAGCGGTACGCCAACTGGGTGCATTTATTCCGAGTTATTTAGAAAAAATGGAACAGTTCATGGAAGAACAAGAGAATGAAGTTTTGGCAAAGGTGGGTAGGCTAGAAGAAGTTGGTTGGAAGCACTATTAAATTTCATTCAGTTGTAAGGGCAGTGCCGTCCCCGTGCCATTTAACTCAATGAAAAAGAACGCGTGTTCACGATTTGCGGAATAGGCACAGATGTATTAGATTTGAAAAATGGATTCAACATCACCGCTTCATCCAAGTTTATTTCATCTTAGCAATATTAGTGATATACCATACTCCGAGATTTCTGATTCTCGGGACGTGACTCGTTGAAGTAAACACGTGAAACTTATACTTAATACAAATCATGATTGAAACAATAAAATTATCTCACCATCGGTAAAATTAGCACTTTCGAAATTCCATAAACATTTTTAATCACGTGGCTAGTGGCAATATTCGTTTTTGAATTATATGAATACTAATCGTGTACAAATTATCACTTAAGCTTGTTCGCCTTAATTAATAATAGTCATTCAATACATTATGTCTATAAAACACGTCTAAATATTATACAATCAGTTTAAGCATAGAACTGAATAGAAATCTAGTCAAAAATTTGGGTGAATGACAAATAAATAGGATTAAGAGAAATTGACAATTATTTTTTTAACAGTTTTTGCAGAATTTCTTGGATCTCACGAGGCTTTTCCTTTTCTTCCCATAAGGCGTATAATGATATCATTTCTTGGACAATGTCGGTGATCTATAATTACGGTACGATGACGCAAGGTGTTAACAGGTCGCCATTCAGAATCTGACCAAAAAAAAAAGGAAAATATGTTATCATTACCTGTTCAAAATCAACGTTCAACTGTGCAAACCACTGCCTTATGTCTTTTACTTTTGAAGTCTCGTTATTGTTATCTTCACTATTGGAAGCTGCAGCCAGTTCTTTTCGAGAATTTCTGGTCATGACACCTTGTCCGTTGCT